GATGCTGGTCGGCGGCGGGCGCCCGCTGTCAGCGCCGTCTGAGCTCGGCCCGGGGAGCCACTGAGACTTCTGCACCTCCCGGAGACCCAGTGAGGGCTACTGGAAAAGAACGCGAAGAGGGAGCCGCTCCGCCGACACACACGCGCGCGCACACACGCGCACTCTCCCCCACCGCCCTCCTGACAGATCTGTACTGATGGATTCCTTCGCAGGAATAGCAGGAAGAGGGTTGAAAGTAGGAGGGGCTGCAGCCCATCCATCTCTCCGGGAGGAATTAGCATCTGAAAGCAGGGAACTGGAGGAGAGTTTTGAAGATTTGTTCAAGCCCCCCCTCCCCCCCACACACACGCACCACCTCCAGCCTCCCTCCCTCAGCCCGTGGTGGAAGCCGTGATCAATTGAGCTCCTGAGGCATGAAGGCGAAGTCATAAAACTAATCAGAACTTACAGTTTTCTTGCTTGATAGTTTTGCCCTTTCAATCTCCTCGGACTGCCCTAGTTCTACTTTCTTCACTTGGAGAAAATTTCCTCCCCTGCTGGGCTCTCCAAATGCAAAACTGCCTGCCGAGGTGTATGATTTACGCACAGGGTGGGACGGAGGACCCTCTCGAGGTGGGGAGGGAAGGAAGGGAATCTGGTCTTTTATTTAGAACGCGTCGCAGCTAGCAGAGATGAGCATGCTTTGTTTTCCTCTGCTCCAGTGCTTGATTTAACCTCATGACTAGGTGTTCCGCTATCGAGGTTAGGAAGGTAAATAGATAGCAAGTACGTTTGTTTTTATTTTGCTCATTCTGCCAATGGAACTTGTCCTCCTTCTGTTACCCACTCACCCTTAACAGTGATTCGTCAGATACCGGTTATATGGGCATCAGCTTGTCCATGTCAGCATCTCTGATTTTTTGTTCTTTCAAGCATGCTTGCTCTGCCCCCGATCCAGCCTCTCCTGGCCATTTAGCCTGCATCCTCCCCACCCCCCTCCATTTACTCCGTATTTAGAAATGAATTCTATGCTAATGATGCTAACAGCAAACGTATTTTGAACTCTTATTAAGTTCCAGATACCATCCTAAGCTGCTTACTTAATATTGCTTCATTTTAGAAGTTATGTCTCCAACCCCAAACCTCTCCAGATCCAGGCCTGCTTGGATGGCCATTTCATGGTCTATTTGCACTCAACTGTCAGTGATCACCCGAACTCAAGATGCTTAGAACAGACAGCTTTAGCTCTTCGTAGATATCATCTTGGATTTCTCTAGTTTGTTTCTCTGTCAGGGCCACCTTCATTCACCAAGTACCCAGATATCAAACCTTGGCCTCATCTTTGAGCTCCTTGAAATGTGTTTCTGTTGTAAGATATTCAATTATTATGGCTCATATCATACCATCTAGAACTTTACATGTTTCTGGTTACCTTAGCTACATTTCTCTTGTTTTGCCTAATGAACTGGCTCCTGGGATGGGACCTTTTCCTATCGTTGTTCTGGACTAAAAGTTTCAGGAAGACATAAATTGATACTCAGTATGACAAAGACACAGCACGTGTTGGGCCCATAATAATTTTTTTTTTTAAATGAAGAATTGAATATTTGTATCCCATCCAGCTTTTAACACAACTCTGAGCATACCAAGCTATTCTAAACTGCTTGTAGATTGACTGGGTCATCTATAAAAACTGGTATTGTGATCAAGAATCAGACACTGTACCACATTAATAAACTAACTTGTTTTAAACAAAGGATGTCATATAGGAATGGAAAATATTTGGAAACCATTAAAAAAGTTATTTAGTTACACTATTCCTTATATTTTCCACAATTTTTCCTTTTCTTATCTTGTGTCTCTACATAAATGTTAGTTGCAAATTCAGGCTTTCATAATGAACCAGATGTTTCTATTCTACCTGCCTTCCTTTTTCCTTAAACGATAACTTCTACACAGATTCCAAAAGGGGTGAAGTGAGTTTTGTTAACCAGAATACTAGTCTTGGTTCTTACCTAATAAGCTGTTCGTCCAAGAGGAAAGCCTAGGTTCCTCTTGACCAAAAGGCACAACCTAGCGAGCAAGGGCAAGTACTGGGGATAATATAGACAGTAACTGAGGGGCACCACTTTATCTGGTAAGGTCAGGGATGGTCTCTCTCTGAGGAGATGGCACTTAAGATGAGATAGGAGGTTGAAAGTGGGCTGGTTTTGTGATGATCTGAGGGAAGAATGATCTAGGCAGAATAAACCAGGGAAATGTCTGCAGAAGAAAAGCGTTGGGTGTATATGAGAAGCAAGGACTGCACAAGGTGAGGATAGAGATGGATCATGTTGTAGTGATAGTCATGGGCCAGATCTTGCAAGGCCAACTAGCCCCTGGAAGAGGTTGACGTTTTACCTATGAGGAAGCCCAACATTAGGAACAACAAATAAGAGCTCCACAGGTTTCAGCTGTGGTCAAGTTTAGGACCAAGATACATTTTATTAGGTCCTTTCTCCTCTCCTTTCCTTTTCCCACATTCTCTGATTGATTAAAAAAAAGCCTAGTTTTCTGAGAGACACAAATAATAAATTACTATAGTAGATGTATCCTAAGGTGCTGCCAATTGTTTAATATTTCATGCAATACATAGGTAAGCCATATCTGTATATGCATACTTTGAAATTTCATGTGCCTCCTTATAAATTATAAGTTTATGTTATGATATTTCTATTCATATGTGTATATATATATATATATATATATATATATATATATATATATATATACTGCAA